GTCAAAATTGGCCTGGTAAGTGCCAAGATATCTTTAAAAAACAGTTCTTTTACTATGTAAACTTTTTTGCAAATAATACTATTGTTTGTAAAGAAGTTTATATAGTAAAAGAACTGTTTTTTAAAGATATCTTGGCACCTACTAGGCCGATTTTAACTATTAGAACCGCAAAGATGAGCTTTACAACTTTCAATTAATTAACAAGATTGATTATCTTAGTATTAAAAAAGTTTATCTTGGGTAATTGCCACATTCACACTATAGTAAATTTATAAGTAATCTAAGTCATATTTTACTAAGATCATGCTACTGTTAATAGGTGAATCATCTATTAAGTGAATTTTCCAGCTATCTCACGATCTTGTTAACTAGTAATCCAAATTTAATGATTTAGTACTATTCAATTTCTCTTGATAAGACGGTTCGAATAGTACCAAAAACATTAAAATCGAATTACTAGTTCTTGAGATATTCACAGAATATGTTTTACAGTGCAGTTTTGCACAGATTTGCACAAAAAAAATTTACAGATCTGCGCAAAACTGCACTGCAAAATATATTCTGCAAATATCTCACAAACTAGTAATTTGATTTTAACATTTTTGGTACTATTCGAACCGTCTCATCAAGAGGAATCGAATGGTATCAAAATCATTAAATTTGGACCACTGGTTAACAAGATCATGAGATAGCTAGAAAATTTACTTAAATGTGATTATCTCGTGATCCAGTGATCGAATTTTAATGAATTTAGTACCATTTAATCCATCTCATTAAGACAGTTCAAATAGTACTGAATTCATTAAATTCTGATCAATAGATTATGAGATATCATGAAATTTATTAAAAATTTTCAGGGTCACAAATCTGTACAGATCTGCACTATATTTAGTTTCCCAATACTATCTTATCCAAATCGATACTCACTTCTACTCCCAAACACTATACTTAAATTATTCTATTTACTTATACTTCTTCTTTGATATCCAACTTGTTTGGCTAAGCTATCAAATTACTTATTAATATCCGGGTTATTTATTCAGGCTACCAAGCTCATAATCAAATTTAACCAAATTACACTTCACTCCCTTTTTTTTTATATTTTTGAATCCCTCCACCTAGTAGTAGGCAAGTAGATACTAATGATAAAGCTATTTACCATAACCTTAATATCCACTACTTACTCTATCAAATCCATAATTACCAAATACTCACCACCTATCTTATTAAAATCGATACCCACTCCTGCTCCCACTCCTGCTCCCAAACACTGTACTTAAATTATTCTACTTACTCATACTTCCTATTTGATATCTAACTTTTTCAGCTGGGCTATCAAATTACTTATTGATATCTGGGTTGTTTATCCAAGCTACCAAGCTTATAACCAAAATTACACTTTACTCTTTTTTTTTTTTTTTTTTTTTTTTTTTTTTTTGAATCCCTCCACCTAGTGGTGAACAAGTAGGTACTAACGATGAAGCCATTTATCATAACCTCAACGTCCACCACTTACTCTATCAAATCTATAATTACCAAATGCTCACTATCTATTTTATCCAAATCAATACCCACTTCTACTTTCAAACACTGTACTTAAATTATTCTATTTACTTATATTTTCTTTTTGATATCTAACTTGTTTAGCTGGGCTATTAAATTACTTATTGATATCTGGGTTGTTCACCTGGGCTACCTAGCCAGTAACCAAAATTAACCAAATTATACTTCACACACTTTTTTTTTTTTTGAATTCTTCTACCTAGTGGTGGGTAAATAGGTACTAACGATGAAGCTATTTACCATAACCTCAACGTTTATCACTTACTCTATTAAATCCATAATTACCAAACACTTACCACCTATCTTATCCAAATCGATACCTGCTCCTGCTCCCAAACACCATGCTTAAATTATTTTACTTATTCATTACTCTTGATACCCAACTTGTCTAGTCAGGCTATCAAAATACTTACTTTGATATTTGGGTTGCTTATCTGGGCTACCAAACTCATACCTACAAATAACCAAACTACATTTCCTCTTTCTGAATTCCTGCACTAGGTAGTGGGTAGGTAAGCATTAATAGCAAAGCTAACTCACACCATTTATTATCACTTCTATCAATCAATATTCTTGCACATCACTTATCTTCTCAGAATAATATTCATCTAATATCTTATCACTTACCAATGTTTATCACTTACACTATCAAAAATAACACTTGTCTAATATGTCAAAACTTACTAATCACTTACTACTCATTCCATTAAAATTGATATTTACATACTATATCAATACTTCTAAACATCTCTCACCTGTTCTACATATATCAACACTTACTAATCACTTATTACCCACTTTACCCAAAATAGCATTCACCCAACATATCAACTCTGAGATGGGTTTATCAGAATTATCTTTCCTAGCAGATTCTAAATACTATCAGATTGTTTTCTTTTTATCTGTATTTAATTTTCATTCCTTGCAGATCACGCAATACTAAATGACAAAGCTAAACTTGTGTCGAGCTAGCAGCAAAGCCAAAAAAGGAAGAACAATTTCCCACACCTCCCTTCTTAAATAGATATTCACTATGATCTCATAATTACTCTATCAAATCGATACTTCAACATCATTACATATCTTCTACTTAAAAAAACAATATCTATCACTAATACATTATACTTTCCTATTACATGGGCCTAGATTATATCTCGTGACAAATAGATGCCTTGTGACTTTATTCACAGCATCACAGAAGCAATAGAAATAATATCTAGTATATAAAAATGATTAAGTGAGTGATTGGCTAAGCAGCAATAACATCCTGGGAAGTTTGCAACTATTGTTGTGGTGGGAGTCACTGCAGAATAATCAGCTGGTAGTTTCCTGTTCGCCGAAGCAAGCCAGCTGAGTATGGAAATGGTGAAATAAGAAAGCAGAGAAATAGTAGAATCACATAGTCATCTATTCTGAATAGGTTGTGAGCAAATCTTTTGTCAGAACTAATATTAATATGCTTTGTGTTCTTCTTTGCCTATAAATAAGCTTCTCTTCGGCACTTTGATTCATTTGAATCTTGCTTATTTATATGCCATTTTATTCTTTGCATATGATTTTCAAAATTTAATCAGTTCCTTATTATAGATTATGGCTTTTTCTAATTAGCACTATGAGCTCGTGATACAGATATATGCTGTCTCGCTTTTTGATTACGTAATCTACCATTACTTTGCATAATTTTTTATAAAAAGTTTTTAAATTTATTATTATTAGAGATTGGAGCTACTCTAACCATTTAATCATTTAATCCGTTTAATTTATTGGTCAACATTAAGGTTTTACAAGAAAATCTCAAATTTCTGGATCAAAATAGGACCCCAAGCAATATATAGAAGCATGGCGGACATTCGATTTGATTGGCTTGAAGATCTCTGAGTTACACAACATAAAAAAAATTTTTTACAGTAACTCTTACTATGTAAAACCACATTGTCAATTGACAACTCGTGGTTTTACATAATAAACTTTTTTTAAAGTATACTATAGTATTCTTTAACTCTTCGTATGTCTTCTGTAAAAAAAGATCAGTATCCCAAAAAACTTTACTTAGAAGGCAATTTTAGGCAAGTAATATATATGTATAATGAATGAGATAACTAATATACCCGAAATGATCTAAAGAGTACTATTTTATTGTAAGTATTTATACTTTTGTTTTACAAATTTGCTTTGCTGATTTTTTAAATCTATTATTTATAGTTGTATTGTCTCTAAGTTTTAAATATTTTTACGTGTTATGCAAAAACTTACGTCTCTTATAGATAATAGCAAAAGTGAACCAAATACCGGATATCAACTGAATGGTAAGTTCTGTAGCAGAGTTTTTTTATGGTAATTCATGATAGAAATTCTGATAATTTCAACATACAATTGACTCAAATTTTTATTATACAACTCTTGATGGAAATTCCAATAATTTCAATACAAATTGTTTAATACGCATTAAAATTACTGAAGTAGTAAGTAAGTTTGTTCCAAAATTTTTATAGCGACTTATGTTAAATAACTATTTCAACTTTTCCTACAGACAGACTATTATTATTAGAATTACATGTTTTTCTGTAGCTCTTGGTAAAAATTATAATAATTCTGTTACAAACTAACTTAATCTTAACTCGCTAGAATAGCAAATTCGGTAACAATATATTTTTATAGTAACTCTTCCTAGAAATTACAATAATTCCAATTCATTTTACTCACTATATATTGATTATCGGAGTATCAAGTAAGTTTTGTAACAAAAATTTTTTACAGCAACTCATATCAACTATGATACTATTTCATCTTTAGCTATAATCTATCATTACTGGAATAGTAGGTTTTACTATAATTTATATAGAATTTATAATAATTCTGATGCAAACTAACTTGTCCTTAATTACAGACTATGATTCACTAAAATAGCGACAACTCTTAATGGAAATTCTAATAATTCCGATACAAACTACTTACTACATATAAGAATTACCAGATTGGTAAGTAAAGCTAGCACTTTTTTTTTTATAGATTTTCGCTTGTTAAATAGTTAGAATATGACTTTAGCAGATTAGTTTAATGGAATAGTGATTGGAACCTGCCACTACAATATGTCGTAGATTTTTTTTTTATAATTTAGAATGTATACAAATGACATCGTTATCAATGTATTTTATTTTATTTTTTTTATTAATAAAACGATTCAAACAATACATTATTCATATATTAATATACGATACATGAGCCAAATAATGTACTATGCTATATTATACAACCATATGTCTTTCACAATAAACGTACGTACATACGTATGTAGCTATCAGTTATAACAAATTAAAATCTGTATATGCAACTAGACTGTTCTCTACAATAAACGTAGCCATCAATTATGACATCGTATAATTATAATGACTACATTATAACTTCATAAACCTCTCATCTTTTCGTTCTTTTTAAAGCTACTTGTCGTTTAGTATTTCTAATGTTTTCTTATTTCGCAATTTCAACAATTCAACAAAGAAAGACCTACTATGATAAGAAATTGTCAGTAGTTCATATTTAAAAAAAAAAAATTGAAAAAAATGAAACTATAACATGATTGAAACCAATACTCATCATTACAATCTCTTGCCGGATGTGAATTTTCAGGTTCAACTTCACATTTCAGTATGTCAAAAGTCTAAAGATCTATGAAGAAAAGAAAATAATATTAGTACATATTCAAACAAAAAAAAACGAAACCAGAACAAGAGTAAAAAACTATATATATTCAGTCTGTATCTAAATTCTCAAGTTCAACTACACATTCCAACAAGTCAAAAATAAAATAAAAAAAATTGAATAAGTTGTTAGTTCTTATTCGAAAAAAAAAAAAACCTAAAAACGCAGAGTAAACCATATTTATCGTTATGATCACACCTGTCTGAATCTAAATTCTCAAGTTCAATTTCATATTCCAATAAGACCTAAAGATCTTTGAAGAGAAGAAATTGTAGTTGTTAGTTTATATTCAGGCAAAACCAAAATGAAAATGAAAACTGATACTTATTGTTACAGTCTCTCATCTGAATCTAGATCAAGTTCGCATTCCAAGACCTAAAGACTATAAAAGAAGAAATAAAAGAAGTTAGTTTATATTCAAAAAATAAAAAAAAGCAAAACCAGAACAAGAGTAAAAAGCGGTTCTACTCTGAAATCCCGAAAGCCATTTTCCCGAAAGGACATAATACTGACTAAATTGGCCAGCATTATAACTAATACTAGCTAACTTTGTCGGTATTATGTCTTTTTCGGAAATCTGTCTTTCGGGATTTTAGAGTAGAACCGTAAAAAGCTGATACTTATCGTTATCCGGATCTAGATCTTATAAATTACAATTCGTATTCTAACAAGTTAAAGACCTAAAGACCTTCAAGGAGAAGAAATAAAAGAAATTTGGTAGTTTTTAAAGAAAATAAAATAAAATAAAATAAAACGCCAAATACTTATTATTATAGTCTCGTCTAGATCTAGATTTTCAAGTTCCAACTTGCATTCTAACAAGTTAAAAACCTAAAGACCTCTGAGTAGAGACATTATTAATTCGTTCATATAACAATACAAAAAAAATAAAAAAATAAGAAATAGAACATGAAAACTAATAGTTATCATTTGATTCAGTTTTTAGTTTCCGCCCAAAATAAAATAAAATAAAATCGTACGTGCATTATCTCTCTGAAATCGATTAAATTAATCCAACTAGTCGATTAGCTATTAATCGATTGGTTGGCGATAATCTGTATTGTGTTATTATTAGTAATGTTACGTAGCCGAAATTGAAAATCTGAATCTCTATTAATAGATAAGTTAGCGTCTTATCTATTTCACCAAATTTCATATAGTCAATAATCAATAATTCGAAGAATGTTATAGAAAACAAATGTTGAAATTCAAGTTTATTTATATTATGTTGTAAATTGTATTAAATATTGCTTTATATTATCGCTATAATTGAATCTACATTTTCTGGGTACTAATTTGATTGGTTGTATATCATGTGGTTTTGTTCCGACACCTAAATTATGTAATGATCTACATTATACGTATTGTTTATTTGTTTATATTTTTTTAACCAATTAAAACAAATGTCCAATCAAAATTAAACATATGAATATATAATAAGTTGCTTACTATTAGCCAATTAAAATTAGCTAAAAATTTTATAAATTTTATAAAAAATTATATTAATTTTAAAATATAATTAGCTACTATATATCAGTTATATGATATATCAAATATAATTTTTTTATATATGAAATTATAATAAAAAACATATAAAATTACTATGAACTTTGCAGCTTTGATATTTTTCGATCTATATATTAACTTAAAATTAAATTTTATAATCATATATAACAAATAAAAAAGAAAATTTTAAGCTTAAAAACCAAGTTAAAATTTTGCTATTTTTGTATAATTTCAAAAAATAACTTTATTAAAAACAAATATTTACTAATTTTAAATTAGTAATTATATATAAAGTTATATTCTGAACAACTTTAATTAGAAAATAAAAGCAAGTTACTTTGATAGAAAAATAAGTTAGCTATGTACTAAAGTTAAAAATTCCAGTTTTTTTATATATAACTTTTTTCTACTTAGATAATCTGCTTTTATCTTTTTTTTTTTTTGAATTTAAGTGATCCTGCTTCTATTTATTTTATGAACTACTATACAATTATTACATAAGTAACTCCCGACATAGTATAATGCTCTATTCTAATAGAAACTCATCAAGCATACAAAGTACTGCCTAATGTGACCTGCTAAAACAACTATTAGCCTCACAAGGGATCCAAAACTCGCTTCAGATTTTGTATTGACAAAGAATACCTTCCTCGATCATTTGACCAGATGTTGTATATCAGAAAATTTTTTATATAGATACATATCAATATATTGCAGTAAATCGATATATATCGATTAGAAAATAACATTATATATCGATAAAATAGGTTATATATCGGTATATAACAAAGAATCAATATATATCGAAAATAGAAATATATTGTTACATATCTAGAAATCGATAATTATCGATTGAATTTATATCGATACAAA